ATTGATTTCTAATTAAATTCCACTGTAGTCTAAAAAGGTGCTTCAGGTGATTTCAGTTCTTTTGAATTTATCAAAACCTGAGGTCTGGCTCAGCATATCATTTGTATTGGCAGACATTTCATGTGCACTTTAAAGAACATTGGCTTGTGCAGTTAATGGGCCAAACAGGTCAGTTGTCGAAYATTGTTCTGCACTCTTTCTGGTTTTTGCCTACTTATTCTGTTCCTGACCAAGGGAGGATTAAAATCTCTAACCTGGGTGTGTGGCGCCTACCTACAATCCAGCTACTCAGGATCACGCATGTTTCCATTGTTGTGAAACAGATCTCTGATCTCTGAATCTTGCAAGTCTGAACCTCATACCCAGTAAACTACCCCTCTTCCTAGCGCCCCCAGGCCTGCCGGCTCCCAGCCCRCTCCCCATTCCTGTGAGTTCTGCTATTTTGACATCTCATACAACAGAATCATACACTAGGTAGAACCCTAACTTTTGAAGGGTAGTTTTTCCAAATACTAGGTTTGTTTTATTTTTTTCTTCTTCTTTTGGCACTTTGAAAAYATCAGCCTGTTCTTGTTGGCCTGCAGAATTCCTGCTGAGAAGCTGCTGCTGGTCTTATGGAATCTCCTGTGTGTGCTAAACCGCCTTCCTCTCCCCCCTCCGCCCTCTCCTGTGCCTTTGAGTTCAGGCGGGGCTCTCCAGTGCACCGGGGAGGGGCTCTTGGGTTCATCCCCACTGGAGTTCATGGAGCTTCTTGAATTTGAAAAAAAAAATATCTGATTTTCCTCCTCAGATTTGGGAAGCTTGGGGCCATTATTTCTTCAAATAAACTCTGTCCTTTTCTTCTTTTGGAATTCCCATTGTGCATGTGCTGGTCTGCTTAATAGAATTTCTCAACCCCCTTAATCTCCCTTTCCTTTCTCTCCTTCTTTTGCTCCGTTACTCGATGATTTCCAACAGCCTGTCTCCTTCATGCTCCCCCTTGTTTCTTTGGACCGGTCGTGTCTGCTGTTGAATACTTCTGATGAATTATTCAGTTCAGTTACTGTATTTTTTAACTCTAGAGTTTGTGTTTGATTCTTTTTATAAATTCTCTTTCTTGGTGTTCTATTTTTTTCATGCATTATTTACCTGTTTCTGTTTGTTTATCTGTACTCTTAGCTYATCTAGCATCATTATGATAATTATTCTCATTTCTTTGTCAGGCAGCTCATAGATCTGCATTTCTTTTGGATCTAGTTCTGAAATTTTATGTCATTATTTTGGGCCATGTTTCCTTGTTTCTTTGTATAGCTTATCAATTATTTCTTGTTGTTCTGGTGTTTAGACATTTTAAAAAACATCAACTTGTTTCAGTCTTTGCATGTGGACTTTGTGTAGGGAAGGCTTCACCAGTTAGCCTGGCTGGAGGTTCCAGGACCTCTCAAACCTTATTTGACCTTGCTCTCCCTATCACCAGATGGTGGAACTGCTGCTTTAACATTCTGCATGTTCTGTTTTCAGTGGCTTCAAACTCTGGTGCAAACCTCATCAGTATAAATCTAAACCAGTGCCTCAGGCAGAYCCCAGACAGACCAGAACTCTGGGTACATAATCCCTTCTTTCACTTCTGTCCCAAGGAAGGAGCTTCATTACTGGGGTGGGGTCCTCCAATTGTTCTGTACTCCACCACGTAGAGGTAGGGGTACAATAGGTGTCCCAAATACTGAAAATTTTGATACTTCTTGCACTGGAATAACTTCCTTTTGGTTTGGTTTGGTTTGGTACCAGGGATTGAACCCAGGAATGCTTAGTCRCTGAGCCACACCTCCCAGCCCTTTTTATTCTTTGAGACAGGGTCTCACTAGGTTGCTGAGACTGGCCTCAAATTTGTGCTCCTCCTGACTCAGCYTCTCCAGCAGCTGGGATTACAAGGCGCACAGTGACACTAGCATCTGGGATGCCCGGTGGCACTCCCCTCCCAGGGCTCCGCGGGGCCTTCCTGCAGCTTCTKCGGGTTCCCAGCCGGCCCCCCTCACGTCTCAGGATCCCCAGGCACTCCAGAGCGGGCCTCCCCGAAAATCCCTGCAGCACAGAGCTGCCCAGGCAGCCTCCCAGCTGCGCCCTCAGCTGCCATGACTGTCCCTCACTCTTGTCACCCCTTGGCACTGATTTCTTATCACTAGTTGATCATCCTTTTAAGCTTTCCCTGCCCAAATGATTTCGCAGTTTCCACCCCCTGACTTCATCTTGATTAAAACAACCAGCTGTAAACTTGTGGAGCAGCCGTGGCTGGAGGCCCAGATGTTCAGAGGGGTGGTCTGCCTCACAGTGACCGCCACTTTCCACAGCATGGTAAACGAATTTCTGGGATGAAAATGTCTTCAAACTCTAGTCTGTCTTTCCAGGTTGGATTTACAGGTCTCTGTATCAGCAGATTCATTGCAGCGTGCGCTGTGTCCTGTTCATAAAAGTCTACACTAGTTTTTTTGTTGTTGTTGTTTTGTTTTGGTACCAGGGATTGAACCCAGGGGCTCTTAACTCCAAGCCACATCCCAGCCCTTTTTATTTTTTGAGGGAGGGTCTCACTGAGTTGCTGAGGCTGGTCTTGAACTTGGGATCCTCCTGCCTCAGCCTCCCAGTCCCTGTGATTGCAGGTGTGCATTTCTGCACCCGGCTCGCTCTTTTCTTTCTTTCTTTCCTGGTTTTGTTTGTTCCTTTCCAGCTTTCTTTGAACACCCACGGGGGGGGGACTGTAGGTGGGCGCAGTGGGGACTGTAGGGTGGGTGGAGTGGGGACTGTAGGGTGGGCACAGAGGGGACTGTGGGGTGGGCGCAGAGGGGACTGTGGGGTGGGCGCAGAAGGGACTGTGGGGTGGGTGCAGTGGGGCCCACGGCAGGGAGCCGGTGGCCCCGTGTGCTGACCTTGCCCATGGTCTGCGGCAGGCCTCGTGGAGGAGCCGAGTGAGGCGAAGCCCCCCCGCCCTGCCCGCGGGCCACAGGCGTCCCCAGGAGAAGCAGAGACGCTCAGGAAAGCAGTCGGGGACCACTTCTGCCTCTGTTACGGTAAAGCCCGCCTCGAGCACGAGCCCTCTGGTCACTAAGGGAYAGGGTGTGACAGCCACCAGCATGGCTCCCAGGGCGTTGTGGGCATTTTAAACCCACTTTCTAATCAGGTCCWGGCTGAGTGTCCTTCGGCAGCATCTGTCTCAATCCAGCCCCTCTGTGCTGACCGGGCTTCCTGCCCTGGTTTCCTGCCCTGGTCCCCTCGCAGAGCCCCCAGCAAGACTGGGTCCAGGGCCCCTCTCACCCCGCTGTCTCTGTACCTCCCGTGCCCCCCAGGGTCCTTAGGACAGCCCAGCAGTGCCTGCAGGAGGCCCTGGGCTCAGCCCCCAGCACACAGGGAGAACCCTCGGCAGGCGCCCCCGCAGCTCACCTCCGTGACCCCCAGCACCCCAGGGCCTCGTTCCTCCTCCAAAGACCTCAGCATGTCCGTCCCCTGCAGGGGTCTGGACATTCAACTTTGGGGTCCTCCAGGTGACATCCCTCTATGAGGGGTCTCTCATCTCTCTGAGGAATGGGGCTTCATGCCTGGGGGCTCACCGCCCCTTCGGAGTCCGACACCACCCCAGCTGGGCGCCTCCCGGAGGTGAAGGCTGAGGGTAAAGCACTCGGGAGGGAGAGGGACAGGGGCTTTCTGCTTTTGATGTGTGATCAAAGCCAGCGCCACCAGCTGGGCTCACTGGTTACACCAAGTCCAGCCGCGGGTAGCGTCCTCACGCCGTCCACGGCTTGCCCTCTAGGGAAGGCGCTGGGGACCACGGCGATGGTGCCCGTCCCCTATGAGCAGATGCTGCGCGACCAGGCGGCTGTGGAGGTGCAGGGCCTCCCAGAGGGGCTYGCCTTTCAGCACCCCGAGAATTATGACCTCGCCACCCTCAAGCGCATCCTGGAGGACAGAGCGGGGATCTCGTTCGTCATACACAGGTGACCCGCCCGTGCCCTCCCCGCGGTGCRCTTAGAGCTGCCTGGATGGCTTCGCTGACTGGCTGTTGAGTGTCCTGTGGCCCTGACGAGGGGACCGTCCGCGGTGCGACGTGCTGGTGTGCTGCGGTCGGGTAACCGGTGTTGGTTTTCTTGCAGACCTTTCCTAGGTCCCGAGAGCCAGCTGGGTAAGTGACAGCTACTGTCCCTTGGCTTGGCTGCACTGACCGGCCGAGCACCTTCTGCTTCTCCTTAAAACTYGCACCTGGGCACATCTTGTGCTTCCTCCTCGGCGAGCAGGGTCAGGGCGCCGTCTGTAGGGACTTGAGCTTAGGGAAGGACATGTGCAACCAGGAGAGCTGTGACCCTGCCCACAGGTCCCCGCTTGCCTTCCCAGAGGGCAGTAAGGCCACCTCTTCCCTGTCCACAGAAGCGTGTGGCGCAGGCACCCCCATATTGGGATGTTGGCACTGCTGGCTTCCAGAGGGGACCTAGGTGTGCTGCTGTGGTCCAGAGGAGTGTAACCACCTAGCTGAGCCAGGGACGGCCTCTGTGCCAGGAGGGCCTGGAGAGGAGCTGGCCCTGGCCCTGGCCCCTTCGATAAGCCGGGGCTGCACAGGTCGGTTCTCGAGGGAAGCCACCCACARACCAGCCAGAAAACTGTGTGGGTGCCTAGCACCCACTGGCACCAGGCCCCAMACGGCTCCTCGGCCTCAGGCTGAGGAGGGGACCATGTGCCCGAGCAGCTCCAGGCCGCACTTGGCCACCTCCCAGTTCCTCACACTGTCCTTCCGGGGCRTAGTCGAAGCCCTTGACCTGGGGCTGTCACGGAGGACCAGGACTGAAAAGGGCGCCACACAGCCTCCACCAAGGCAGGACAGGCCAGCCAGGTTGGCTCKCCTCCCCTGAGCCACGGACAGCATGTCGGGGCCATCGTGCGTCCTGCTAGCTCATGCTAGAATAGGGCTGGACGAGGGGTGGCAGGTGACCAGGTGACCAGCCTCCCGGGCAGCTCGGATCTTCATTGCAAGACAATACCAGAGCTTAGTGGCTGGGCACTGTAAGTCCCTTCACGTACATAGGGTGCCCTGGGGTCCGTGAGGGATGGTGCCAGGACCCTCTGCCAGAGAAGCCCTGCAGAAGCTCAGCTCTTCCCCAGGCAGTGTCTGCAGAGAACCCCCTGGTGCTCACGGCCACCCTGGGCAGTGCAGGTGGTGGCTCTGCTGTGACGACCCAAGTCTGGGCCTGTCTGCTGCCGAATCCACAGCSATGGGTCTGGAGCCCGTGGCCTCGAGGGCTGAATGTGATCAGCCTCCACAACCACCATTTTCCCCAGGAGGCAAAGGGGAAGTTCAGGGCCTTGTCCGAGCACCCAGTGGCGAAGGGTGAGGCCAGCCCATCTGTCCCTCTCGCCCCAGAGCCTCTGCCCAAGTCCGTGGTCCTGGACACAGGGTCTGACCCGAGGGGGCCTCCTTCCCCGCCGCCCTCCCATGATGACTTGAGCCAGGAGTGTTCTGTTCTCCTGCATTTGCTTTCATTGATAGGACTGTTTTTTGTTTTTTGGGGTTTTTTAAATATTTTTAGGACAAAATATATTTTTAAAATTTTTTTTATTTGTAGATGTACACAGACCTTTATTTTGTTTTATTTTCTTTATGTGGTGCTGAGGATCGAACCCAGGGCCTCACACTTACTAGGCAAGTGCTCTTCACTCAGCCCAGCCTCAGCCCTGTGTCTTTTTTTTTTTTTTAGAGAGAGAGAGAGAGAATTTTAATATTTATTTTTAAATATTCGGTGGACACAACATCTTTGTTTGTATGTGGTGCTGAGGATCGAACCCGGGCCACACGCACGCCAGGCGAGCGCGCTACCGCTTGAGCCACATCCCCAGCCCTCTTTTTTTTTAATATTTATTTTTCAGTTATCGTGGACACATGCCTTTATTTTACTTTATATGGTGCTGAGAATCAAACCCAGTGCCCTACACATGCGAGGCAAGTGCCCACCACTGAGCCCCACCCAGCCCAGGTGACAGAGCTCTGAACCCTGGTCACAGTTCCAGGGCTGAGAGGGACCAGCAGGTCTTTTTATTCTTGYACAGGTGCCCATGGGACGGTAGCAGACTCTGAGAGAGCAGTACTGTCACCAAAGGAAAGGTAAGGGACAAATGGCATCCATATCCAGCCACAAAGTGGTAACTTTTTAGAAGTCATAACATTTCCAGTCCAATACGAAGGGCTGTGTCGCTAGTTTTATTCTGAGTGGTTTCATCCAGGCTAGGTAACGGGCACCTCTGACTCTGCAGCGGGTCACCAGCATGTTTGTGTTAAGGCAGTTCCGCATTCAGGGTCRGTCGGACCTGGGGGCTGGGGATCCAGGGCACTGGGGCTCTGTGGGCCCAGGAGCCTGTGGCCAGTCCTCACGTGGCCTGTTTTGACCAGACCCCTTCTCCTTTCAGCTGTGGTGCCATCAGCGTGAAAACCGAACCCATGGACGATTCTGGTAGGTCTTTAGAATCATGTGTGACCACTGGACTCTCTTTGGTTTTACTTTAAAAAGAGGAGGGGGCTGGACAYTCATCAGCCTCGACCGAGGCCCTGTTTGAAGGATCCAGGTGGAGTGTCCCTTACTGGACATGCTGGGACCACAGATGTTTCCGACTTTAGATTTTGTGGGATTTTAGAATATGTGTGTATGTCTGTGTGTGTGTGTGTTTGTGTGTCTGTGTCTGTGTGTGTGTGTACACGCACGCAAGCTGAGACAGAGAAGAGACATCTCGGGGACAGGAGCAGAGGTGAAACAGGAAAAGCGCTTCCGTTTTAAGAACATCTTTGCRTGTAGCCGAGGTGGTTTTACGTGGTGTCTCCGGCACGCCTGTGTTTCGCGTGTTGCCATCACGTGGGGTTGCGTGTGGAATCTGCCACCAGGGAGCTCATGTCAGCGCTCAAAATCCTCTGGATTCTGGAGCTTTTCAGAGTTGGATGTTTAACCTGTGATCATATTTGACCCAAATATCTGGAAGAGCGCCTTCAAGGTCAGTAGACGCAGCCACTCAGGTGTCCTTGAGCAGGTGTGTCTGGGGACAGAGTCTTATTTTGTCTCTACTTAGATGAAGCCTGAGTGGGGAGTGAGTGGAGCCCTGAGCAGGCGCTGGGAACCCCAGCCTGACCGACCGGGAGCAGCATCCATTTCTGGAAGCATCTTGTCTGCCTCGCAGGCCTGGCATCTCCAAGTGTTCTGTGACGTAGGAGCACGGAACGTTCTAGTGCCTGTGTGTATAGTGGCAAAGCCCCTCTGATGGACGAGGAGATGCCCCCAGCTCCTCAGGAAAAGACAGCACGAGTTACAGGAACATGTTAAAGACAGAAGGGAGACTTGTTAAGAACCCAGTGTTCAGTCCAAGGGTGGGAAAGCACGGAACGCCTTAAACATGGGAGTCAGAAAACTTAGACCAAAATCTCAAAAAGGGCCAGGCCTGGTGACSCACGCCTGTCATCCCAGGGGCTYGGGAGGCCRAGGCAGGAGGATCACGAGTTCAAAGCCAGCCTCGRCAATTTAGTGAAATCSCAAGCAACTCAGTGAGACCCTGTCTCTAAATAAAATGTAAAAAGGCCTAGGGTGTRGCTCAGTGGTCCAGTGCCCTGGGTTCAAACCCTTGTGCTCCCCCCAAAATAAAAAAATAAATAAAGGAGGGGGAGGAGGAGAAAACAGGAGAATGGAGGCCTCAGTGGTTCTAAATGAGAAGTCAGCACTCCAGCCTCCCCCAGAGGACAGGTGTGTCCCTGAGAGGGACAGAGTGGCCAGCATCCCTGGCCAGGCTCCCCGTCTGTCATCACCAAGCRTCCTTTCTCCGTGAGGGGGCCCTCGTGTCCTGTCCACACGTAGCCTGGGCTGAGCTCCCTCTTCACCCGGGTCTGGAAACAGGCGTGGGTCCCGCTGGTGGCTGTGAGAGCCTTTGTCATGACAGAGGCCTGAGGTCATCAGTTCCTGAGAAGAGACTTATGGGGTGCACAGTTCTGAGGATTTGGGTTCATGATCCCTTGGCCCCATTTCTTGGGCCTGTGGCAAGGCGGCCCAGCGTGGAGTGTGGTGGGGAGACGTGGCTCGTCCTGTGGCCAGGAAGCAGGGAACTGGAGGAGGACAGAGCCCAGCCCACGGCCTCCTGGGGCACCGCAGGCATCCAAAGGCCTCCCAGGTGGCTCCAGGGCCTCCATCTCCAGTGGCTCCTCTCAGGCCAAGCCTTTGACACTGGGCTTTGGAGGACATTGGAGACCCAAGCGCAGCAGGGGCTCTGGGTGAGGTCAGCGGAGGGACATGGAGGGACCCAGGCGAGCACAGTGGCTGGGCAGCACTCGGCCAGTCCCAACCTGAGAGCGGGACAGGCTCCTCTGAGATCCAGGAGGACCCGCAGTGGGAGTGGGGCCTGTCAGCTGCAGCGAACAACGTGGCCACTAGCAGATTCCAGCAAGGGGAGAAGGGGCACAAGGAAATAGAGACTCTCAGGCGCAGATGACAGCTGGGCTCAGGCGGAGCTGAGTGCTGCGCTGCTGGAGAAGCCAGCCTCAGGGTGACACCAGCCGTCATGTGTGTCTCACCATCAGCTAGAAGACTGACTGTCTAGCGTCACGAAAGCTACAGAGCTAGCAACAGTGGGCTGCTTGTCCCATCTGCGTGGACAGTCGCAAGTGTGCAATGTCCGGAGCTTGTGCGCCTCTCAAGGAAGCCCATTGTTGGAGTTACTGCCATGCGGGCAGGTTCAGGAGCAGGGAGCTGGTGAAGCACTGTGGTTGACGAGCAGGAAGTCCCTCCGTTCCCAGGAGCTGCGCCTGAGATCAAGGTCCCGCTGATGAGACTCCAGCCAGAGCCTCCTCCTACAGGCCATGGCCACAGCAGCTCGGCACCCTGCACYCTTGCACAGAGACTTTCCCTGGGCACCAAGCATGCCGCAGGCATGAGGTCATCCGAGACCCTAGTCTCAGACCCTGCTCCCCACAGTCGGCGTCTCCCCAGGCCCTGAGGGACCCTGGCCCCAGCTCTGCTGCCTCCTCCTCCCCACCTGCCTGGACGTGGGCCTCCTTGGTCGAGGCCTCTCCTTGGAGATGTGGTTCGACTGAGCAAATTCCGTTCCCTGTCAGTATCATCTGACTTTCCACCGAGGGTTCCACRGTGCAGCGAGAGTGGATCCGAGAGCAGGCCTCAGTCTTTCCCTCTGGGACATTTGTGCAAAGGCTTTGGCAGCTACAGTTTTGCATTCCCCTCCCTCCTGCYCTCCTCCCTTCCCTTCCTCTCTTGGCTGAATGAGCTTGTTCCTGTCAGCATCTCAGACACTCACTGTCAAGCGGGTTTCAGTGCTCTGGGTCAATTAGAAAGGAATTTTTCTTGGCAGCAGAGCTAGAACACACAGGTTTATTGATTGCTTTTATTAGAATTGTCTAATAAAAGTGTCTGATAACTTGGAACTTTAAAAAGTTTACTACCTGGGCCGGGGTCGTGGCTCAGTGGCAGAGCACTTGCCTAGCACGTGTGAGGCCCTGGGTAAATAAATGAGTAAAATAAAGGTCCATCAACATCTAAAAAAWATATTTTAAAAARTTTATTACRAATACTGTGCATGTTTGAAATGAAAACCATTCAGGCTAAAATGCCAGCAAGGGAAGAAACACCTTCCCRTCACTAGGTTCATGGTGGAAGCTTCAGTAACAGAAGACAGATTAACACGAGAAAAACACAAAGTTACTCAGCACCAGGAGCCTTCAAAACTGAAGGCCCAACAAATGATGCTGTGTGCTAGACAAGTGCCCTCCAGCGGGTCCCCCACAGTGTGGAGTTACCCGGTGGCCTTGACCCCCACCTAACCTTAGGTCTCCTTGCACTCACAGGGATTTCCCTGAAGACAGAAGCTGTGTCCGTCAAGAAGGAGTCGGAGGACCCCTGCTACTGCCAGCACCGAGTGCCAGGTACCGACCGCTGGGTGAGGTGGTGAATCGTAATTGCCCCCTCTGAACGGCAGGCAGAGGAATGGAGGCCTGTGTTTGCTGACCTAGGACCCAGCATGCGGCCACGCGGGTGAATAGCCTGACTTCAAAGATGGGTCTGATTTCCCCTAAGTGTACAGCGTGGAGGTGCCTCAGGGCGTTTCGCTTGAGCTCATTGTGAAATATTCTCTGTGTTCCAAAATACTTCCCACATCACCACTCAATCCTCTCTCTCTCTCTCTCTCTCTCTCTCTCTCTCTCTCTTTTTTGTCACATCCCCAGCTCTTTTTATTTTTTTAATTTGGAGACAAGTCTCACTAAGTTGCTGAGGCWGGCCTTGAACTTGTGATCCTCCTGCCTCAGCCTCCCGAGCCTCTGGGATCACCACTGTGCACCACCCCACCTGGCCGATGGCTTCTTTTTAAATTCGCATCTCTCCCTTGGTCATAGTTTTCTTTTTCCTTTCAGAAGGAGACTGTTCTTCCACAAGCAATGAAGAAATGGAAACGGAATTACCAATGGAAGGTTAGAAAAATGAAGCATTTTCTTTTTTTTCAAGTCCTCCCTCCCCTCCTCCCTCCCCCTCCTCCTTCCCCAGAGAGGTCCCAGGTCCCTTCACGCATTTCCCCCAGAGGTGACGTGCTACATACCTACAGTACAGTGCCAAGTCCGTGGCAYTTGTGTTGAGTGCTAGCCTTTCTGTCTTTAGTAAGAATTAGTATAATTTTAGGCTAGTCCTGCTAGAAGAGCCTGAGTTTGGGGAGCTAGTRTCTAATGTCTAGCCAGGTAAGGATTTTATCCACCTTCTGCTCAGGAGGACTGGGGGGACAGTCCCTTTATAAGATGAGCCCTTAGGAGGGGATCCTGCACTGTCCCCTGGACAGTTCCATCTCCCCGTGTGGACGATGCATGGAAAAGACACTCTAGATGCCGGGATCAGCCCCRTGTTGCTCAGGGAGCCGGGACCATGGGGACACCTGGAGGTCACTAAATAGTGAAGGTCATTTTAGACATTTTCCTTTCCAGAGTCTGCCCARCTGGTCTGTGCAGACACAAATGAGGACCCCAAAGGCCACGTGAAGGTCGAAGGTGAGAAACCTCGTCATGGCCACACATGGTCTTCATTCTTCTCAAAGGGCTTCCAGGGAAGACTGGAGGATACCAAAATGGGGCGTGTCCAGGCAGCCCACCCGGAGCCCCCGGGCACTGTGGGCAGCACAGCCAGGCCAYGCACAGTGGCACCAGCCCTGGGCAGGGAGGACGGCTGGGGGCCAGGTGCAGGCGAGAGGGCGGGGGTTGGGCCGAGTGTCTGGGGGTCAGATTCCTCCAGAGCATGGGGGCTGCTTCCTATCCCAGCCACCGGGACCCCTGCGGTTTCCACTGGGGGACTGTGCTGCTAGCGCACTGGCGCTCGGTGTCACCGGGCCCGAGTCGGTCGGCTGGTGACCCAGAGCATCAGGGGCCCAGTCTCAGGCACTGCAAGGTGTCCACGTGACCCACRAGCTTCCTACCCACCGGTGCCTTGAGATCCGCTGCCCTCACCATGCTCAACGCCCTGGGTTTCACCCCAGCACCTCAAAAGGAAGAAGGGGAACCTCTTCATCACCCCAAGACACGCCATGAAGCAGCTGCCCGTTCCCCTGGCCAGCCCCTCCTGGCCTCCAGCTCGGGTTCCCTTGCTCTGAACCGCGCTGTCCTAGATTTCCCATGTAAATGTGACTAAGCAGCGTGTCTGTCTGCTGTCACTAATGTCTGTCCTCACGGTTCATCCACGTGGTACCATGTGTCAAACTTTTTCCCTCCCCCACCTTTTTATTTTATTTTTTTAGCTTCTTTCCTTTTTAAGGCTGATACATCACAGTTGGCCCCCACACCTTTTGGTGGACATATGGGTGTTTTCCTCAATGTACTTTTAAGAAYGGAAGGAACAAAATTGAATGTCAAGATCCAAGTCCCACACTTACGTATTTATTCATKATTTTTCATTTCTTTACACTCAATGGGGGCGGAACCCAGGGCTTTGCRCCTGCTAAGCAAGTGCTGACCACTGAACTGCATCACAGCTCCCAGCACTAACTTAAGTGGAGGCCCGTGGAAACATTCTCCAAGGCGGCTGTGTGCTAGGCTTTGGCCCTCGGGGGCATCGCAGCTGTACAGCGAGCATAGGCCTCAGCGCGTGCTAGACAGACAGGAGGTGCTTGCGGTTTTTTGTTTTTGTTTTTGTTTTTTAAATAAGAACTAGCCATGAGTTATTTGCTGAATAACTTAGCCCCTATTGAGCATACGTCTGTGGAGGGTTGGAGCACTGGGAAGTCCATCTGTACGTGGGCTCTTGTCCTCTGTCTGACAAGGATCATGCTGGTGACTCATGGTCTGTGGAGCCCRATGAGTTGTAAACTAGCCTCTAAGGCAGGTGAGCGGTCAGCTCAGGGAGTCCTTRTTGGGCTGGAGTTGTGGCTCAGTGATGGGGCACCTGCTGCCTTGAGGCACTGGGTTCAATCTTCAGCACCACATCAAATAAATAAATAAAATAAGGCTATTGTGTCCATCCATCTACAACTTTAAAAAAGTATATTAAAAAAGAGTCAAAATGGCATTATTTTTTTATGATTTCTTTTTTAAGGAAACACAAATTCATTCAGTATTACAAATTCTGCAGCTGGTGTTGAAGATCTTAAGATTGTACAGGTGGCAATTCCAGGTAAGGACAYTGATCTCACTTTATCATAATTTGTACTGTACCTTCCATTCTGTCTTCACTGTTTTATGACACAAGTTGGTCTTTTGGAGCTGTTGATWTTTGCTTATTAGTTCACCCTGACCTCTAAGGAACAACAATTCAGGAATATAAAATAGTGCAGGKCACCACACACCAAGTGCACTCCTATTATCATGATTACTGGGACTATAGTTTCACCAGGGTAGGGTAGGAACTTCAAGTACCAGCTGTCATTGAATTGGAATTGGCCACAGAGKTGTAATTTATTTACTGCCCATCATTAAATAATCTTTTGTTCTAAATGTGTTGTAAGATGTATCTGRAAAGATAGCAAAGAATCTAATAAGATAGTTCCTCTAGGGTAAGAAACTGAGAGCTGAGGTAGGGATTTCTATATGCTGTTTTAAAATAGCATACAATTTAAACCATTTGATTGCTTTAGTTATTCAAAATCAAATAGAATAAAATGTTAACATATTGAGAAATAGTTCCTTCTAGTCCTACTATCTCTTATTCCTTTTTCTTGTTGTATTGCTTTGGCTACAATTTCTACTAATTAAGATTTCTAATTATTGAAGMGTGTTAGAGTTCACATCCTTGTCTTGTGTGATATTGAAAATGTTCCCTAAAAGTAGTATGGAGTGTATTTATATAGGATTATAGTCTGGAAAATTCTCTATTGTCTATAATGACTTTATTTACAAATTTCCAAAATGCCTGATTACTTATGAAAGTAAACTGATCAATAAATCAGGTGAAGTGCTAATGAGCATTTTCTCAGCAGCTTTCTTGGAAGAAAAATACACTAATAACCCTGGCTTATTTATGTACTTAATTATTTTTAGATARCGAGAAAGAAAAATTATCAAACATTGAAAAGACTAAACAGCTACGAGAACAAGTCAATGACCTCTTTAGCCGAAAATTTGGTAAGTTTTTGTATAGAATATTTATATGCTTGAAATGCTTCTTTTTAAAAGAATGTCTTATAAGAAATTGATCTGTGAAAAAGCTGTGATCGGAATCAGTCAGTATTCTCTTTTGTTGTTGACGGTGTCTTTTTTGTGTGCTGGGGATTGGGAACAGGGACCTGTGCACACTGTGCATCGAGCTACATCCCAGCCTGTCAGTGTGTATTTGTAACCAAAGAGCTTTTCCATGTACCGCTAGAGAATAAAGTAGCAATAGCTAGTCACCCAGGGTCTCATTCGAGGAGGATGAGTTTTAAATCCTGACATTAAAGATAAAGGATGGTGCCAAGCACCTTGGCATATGCCTGTAATCCCAGCAACAGGAGAGGCTACTGCAGGAGGATTGCAAGTTGGAGGCCAGCCTCAGCAATTTAGACCTTGTCTAAAAAAGTAAATAAAAAGTTCTAGGGCTGGGATTGTGGCTCAGCGGTTGAGCACTCACCTAGCATGGGTAGGACCCGGGTTCGATTCTCGGCAGCACATAAAAATAAAGGCATTGTGTTGTGTCCATCTACATCTAAAAATAAATAATAATTTTTTTTTTTAAAGTACTGGGGATGCAGCTTGGTGATAGAGTGCCTCCACATTCAATCCCCAGTACCCCCCACCAAAAAAAAAAAAAAAAGAGAGTAAACATGGTTTGGGAAGAGTAGGTGAGGCTCAGCTTTTTATGTTGCTCATCGCGTCCCAGGTGAAGCGATTGGYGTGGACTTCCCTGTGAAAGTTCCCTACAGGAAAATCACCTTCAACCCGGGCTGCGTGGTGATCGACGGCATGCCCCCGGGTGTGGTGTTCAAAGCCCCCGGCTACCTGGAGATCACCTCCATGAGAAGGATCCTGGAGGCTGCAGACTTCATCAAATTCACAGTCATTAGGTGAGCGAAGTCTCCACCGTGGCAGGGACTGTGCGGAACCCAAGGGGCAGCCCAGGGAGCTCTGTCCGAGGGTGGCCCGGGGGCTGCTGGGATTCCAGGCCAGGCTGGCATCTTGCCACCTGCTCTTTGAGGTGTGAGCTCGTTGCCAGCCTCGCTGCCCTGGCCTGCAGCCCACCTCAGCTTCCCGCCCTCTGCCCGGGCTGCGCTCTAATGGGGGACTGCGAGCTCCGTGGTCTTCAGTAACACTCTCTCTCTCTCTCTCTCTCTCTCTCTCTCTCTCTCTCTCTCTCTCTCTCTCCAGACCGCTTCCAGGCCTCGAGCTCAGCAATGGTGAGTATCTGCATGAGGGGACATGCCGCGCCGGGGTGCCCTGGCTGGGTGGCAGAGACTCACGCGGGGCCTTTGCTTTTGGAGGCTAGAGCCTCGGATCGTACTTCACTTTTCCTGGCACAAGCTTCTAGACGCTAGTGCTTAAATTTTTTTATGTGTTTGCAGCACAGGGCGTGGCACACAGACCCCAGTCCTACTKGCTAAATATTTTTAATGTCCCCTGCAGCCCTGGCAAGGAAGTCCGTGTCCTATAGAGTGATCAAGGCAGGAGGTGTAGTGATATTCCCAGCTCTCCGGTCACTAGGGAACCTCCTGATTTAAAATTTGAAAACTAGGCCATGTGTTTAAATGTTCCTATTCCTTAAACTCATCTGGCAGCCAAAAGATGTCCTCACTTTACTGAGGAACCATTYACACTTCATCAGGTGGACTCAGTGGTCAAGCACCTTCCCAGGCTGTGCAAGGCCCTGGCTTCAGACCCCAGCACCACCCCAAAATCCACTTGTATTAAGGGAATTCCTTCATCCCTCACGTTGACAGCTGAGCTGCTGCTGCTCTTCCACGAGAGCATTCAGAGGCAAGGCTCCACCACTTTGGGTGCATCTCCAGAGTTGTGCAAAGGTCACCACACCCAACATCAGAACGTCCCCCCATCCCCCAGCACATGCGTCCCTCCCACTTTCAGTCATTTCCCCTCTCCGTCCCCAGCCCTAAGCCACCAACACTTGATTTCTGTCCTGTAACTTGCTGGGCTTCTGTCAGTGAACCCTTCCCTTGTGCCCTCTGGAAGCACCTTGCTGACCTGCCCAGGGCCAGGCTCCTAGATCTAAACACCGACACAGGGAACAGGTGTACATGCATGAGCCCTGCAGGTCTGGGGCCCTCTGGTAATCGGCCTTCTGCACTCACTGCTCCTTACTTCAAAGTTCTCTTGGGGTTCAAATGAGAAAGCATATGTTGAAATGCAAACAAGAAGGCACAGTGGGGGCTGGGGATGTGGCTCAAGCGGTAGCACGCTCGCCTGGCATGCGTTCGGCCTGGGTTCGATCCTCAGCACCACATACCAACAAAGATGTTGTGTCCCCCGAGAACTAAAAAATAAATATTAAAAAAAATTTAAAAAAAAAAGAAGAAGGCACAGTGGCACGTGCCCCTAATCCCAGCTACTTGGGAGGCTGTAGCAGGAGGATCACAAGATCAAGGTCAGCCTTAGCAATTTAGCAAAACCTTGTATTAAAAAAAAAAAAATGGGCCACTTGTCCCACTTGTCGTGGGGCACACCTGAGATCCCAGCAATTTGGGAGGGTGARCAGGAGGATTGCAAATTTGAGGTCAGCCTTAGCAACTTAGCAAGATCCCTTCGCAACTTAGCAGGACCCTGTCTCAAAATAAAAAGACCTAGGGACGCAGCTCAATGGTAAATCATCCCTGGTTCAATCTCCAGCACTACAAAAAGGTTAAAATGTAGACATAATACTCCAGTTCATCCTGTTTGAAGCAGGTGTAGCAAACACAGCTATGCTCTGAACAAAGATTTTGTGTGTGGTGCTGGGGAGTGAACCCAGGGTCTCAGACGTGCTAAGCCTGCCCTCTTCCACAGCTCCGCCCCAGCTCCTATTTTTTGGCCCATATGCCTTTTTATGTTTTGTTTTGTATTTACTCATGGGCAGCCTGCSTTTATTTCATTTGTTTATTTTCACTCGGTGCTGAGGATCCAGCCCAGTGTCTCACATGCCAGGCGAGCCCTCCCCAGCCCAGCCCCTGACCCTGCCCCAGCCCCTGCCCAGGCCCAGTCTCACACCAGCCCCTGCCCCAGCCCCTGCCCCAGTCCCAGCCCCTGCCCCTGCCCCAGCCCCAGCCACATCTACCTTTTAAAATGGAAGTTATAGGTCATGGTGCAGCACGGGTGGAACCCTATTTCATCCTTAACACCACACACAAAGAAAGTCTCACAAAAATCCTTCCCCAGGTTTTCTTGAGACGTGACCCCTCCGACCACAGCGGGAGATGTCCACTGGGCAACAGTGTGCACGTCCCCTCTGCAGGGCCCATTCCTGCCCCAGCCCCTGTGTCCCTCGGTTCACCATTGTGCTTTGATCCCGGTGGTACCACGAAGTCAAAGGGTGACCTAGTTTTCTTCCCCCCACCCCCTGTCTCCCGGGAAGTGGGAAAGCGGAAGATCGACCAGGAGGGCCGCGTGTTCCAGGAGAAGTGGGAGCGCGCCTACTTCTTTGTGGAGGAGCAGAGCATCCCCACGTGCCTCATCTGTAAGCAGAGCATGTCGGTGTCCAAGGAGTACAACCTGCGGCGACACTACCAGACCAACCACAGCAAGCACTACGACCAGTACACGGAGCACATGCGTGACCAAAAGCTCCGCGAGCTCAAGAGGGGGCTGCGCAGATACCTCCTGGGCTCCCCCGAGGCCGGCGCCACTGAGCAGAAGCAGGTGCTGCCCAGCGCAGGGCGCCTCGACAGTGCGACCGAGCAGCCTGCTGAGGACGTGGCCGGCAGCTTGTGGGAGAAGCTGCGTGAGAAGCTGCGCTCGTTCGTGGCCTACTCCCTGGCCATCGACGAGATCACGGACATCAACAACACCACRCAGCTGGCCATCTTCATCCGCGGGGTGGATGCGGGCTTTGACGTGTCGGAGGAGCTCCTGGATACGGTGCCCTTGACGGGTACCAAGTCCGCCAATGAGATCTTCTCACGCGTGGAGAAGAGTCTCAAGAAGTTCAACATTGACTGGTCGAAACTAGTGAGCGTGGCCTCCACGGGCACCCCCGCCATGGTGGATGCCAACAGCGGCCTCGTCACCAAACTGAAATCCAAGGTGGCCACGCTGTGCAAGGGCTCGGATCTGAAATCAATCCGCTGCATCATCCACCCGGAGTCCGTCTGTGCCCAAAAGCTAAAGATGGACCACGTCATGGACGTGGTGGTGGACTCGGTGAACTGGGTCTGCTCCCGGGGGCTGAACCATGGCGAGTTCACTACGCTGCTCTACGAGCTGGACAGCCAGTACGGCAGCCTCCTCTACCACACCGGCATTAAGTGGCTCAGCCGCGGGCTGGTGCTCAAGAGGTTCTTTGAGTCTCTGGAGGAAATCGACTCTTTCATGTCCTCCCGAGGGAAGCCGGTGCCCCAGCTGAGCTCCAAAGACTGGATCCGGGACCTGGCCTTCCTGGTGGACGTGACCATGCACCTGAACACCCTGAATGTCTCCCTCCAGGGCCATTCGCAAGTCGTCACGCAGATGTACGATCTACTGCGCGCCTTCCTGGCCAAGCTGTGCCTCTGGGAAACGCACCTGGCCAGGAACAACCTGGCCCACTTCCCCACACTGAAGTCGGTGGCCAGACACCAAGGCGACGGCCTCAACTACGTCCCCAGGATCGCGGAGCTGAAGACGGAGTTCCAGAAACGACTGTCCGACTTCGAGTGCTACGAGAGCGAGCTGAGGCTCTTCAGCGCCCCGTTCTCCACCGGGATTGAGAGCGTGCGCGAGGAGCTGCAGCTGGAGGTGATCGACCTGCAGTGCAACTCGGCGCTGAAGGCCAAGTACGACGAGGTGGGCGTCCCCGAATTCTACAGGCACCTCTGGAGCACCTACCCCAGGTACCGCAGCCACTGCGCCAGGGTCCTCTCCATGTTCGGCAGCACCTATGTCTGCGAGCAGCTCTTCTCCATCATGAAGCTGAGCAAGACCAAGCACTGCTCCCAGCTGAAGGGCTCGCAGTGGGACCCCGTGCTCCACGTGGCTTCCTGACGAAGGGACAGCTGCTGGCCAGGCCCCACAGCAGGAAGCTTAGGATGTCCCTGGCCACGGACTGGAAGACGAGGATATGAACTATTAAGCATTTTGATTATTCCAGGTTTTTTTCTTTTCCACTTTGAAATGGAAGTGTAATTTGCAGCATCATACCTGTTTGTACGGCATTTTATGCTTCCCTGTAGTTGAGTAAAAGCCAACCAAGTTTTACTGATTTTCTGCTCAGTGACTCCACTGGCCTGGCCTGCTTCACCCATGAGCCTGACCTGCCTTTCCCCCCAGGCACTGTGGTCGGCATCTTCAAGCCTCAGAGAGTCAACAGGTAGAGGAATGGGTGACCTGCTGAGGCTACTTGCACACCCACTGGTCATCCTGCCTGTTTGCATGGTGTCCCACGTGGCCTGACACATTCCCAGGYGTCAGGAGGACGGCTGGTGACCTAATTACAGAGTATAGCCCTCCTGTGCAGGATGCCTCTGTGAAGCAAGAAAGGTCAGGCTTAAAATGGAAACTGTCCAAACCAGTAACACCCATAGCCAAGGCAAAATAAGCTGAGCTTTGGAGGTTGTTTTTTTTTTTTAAAAAAAAAAAAAAGAGAAAAGAAAAAAAGGACTTTATTTTGAATAATTTCAGATTTATGGAAAAGTTTCAAAAATAAAAATAGCATGAAGAACACTCTTGCACCCACATTAGTGGCAGCCCACAGTGAGCCTCTCAGCCCGGGGTCCCCCCCCTCCCACTCATCTACAATTGGTGCCTGTCAGCAGGAGGAGTGACTGTGCCTGCACAAACACGCATTTTTAACTAAGCCATTTGAGAAAAGGTTACATACATCATTTATCCCTAAATACTTCAGGGAACATTTTCTAAAAATAACAGTGTCCACTTATATAACCATAATTGGGAGACRGAGGTCAGTAGGTTGAACATTGGGGTAGCATTTTATCCAGCTCTCCACGATCCTCCGGGTCCATCTGTTAACCGGGTGACCACCTTTCCTTTACAGCACTTTCCTCCTGGCGTTGACCTTCGAAGTCAGGTAGGTAGGTAGGTAGGCGTGCATCTGTGTCCAGAGTCTCTATTAATCACTGGAATTAGCGACCCCAAACTCAGAACTCTCCAGATCCGGAGGAAGGCACTTGAGTAAGGGGGGCCCCCAGCCTGATGGCCGCCTGGGGAAGCTGTGCAGATCGGGCTTTGACAGAGACAAGGCAGGAGCTGGAAGGAGAGACCACGCCCCACACTGCACCTGCTCCCAATGGAACCCAGTGCCTGTCCTCAGGGGAAAATGGGATGGGCAGAGAAAAGAGCTAGTCACGCCTCCAACACAGGCCCTAGGACTAGGGGTCTTCAGAGGGCCATGAGGGCCAGGCCACCTCCCCCAGCTTCCCTAGCCCAGTGCCCACCACAAGGCCTGACTCGCCTGCATTTCCCAGCTTCAGTTCCCTCATCTATAAAATACCCACCTGCCAGGTTGTTCTCAGAACTAGAGATGCTGAAATGAGCCCAGCACTGCATTCAGCTTTGAGGAAATCGTTGGCCGACAGATAGTGCAGGCCCGACTGGAGCGGGCCCTTATAGGATGCAAGTGCAGGCTTGCGGGTGACTCCCTGACCACCCCACACACACAGAATGCTACTACTGACATGTTACTTGGAGGGGGCCAGAAGTATGGAAGAGATGAGGTCAATGTTTAATCAGGATTTCAACTTAGGGGGTCTACTATGAAACTTAAAAAGGATGAAAATAAGTAAGATATATTTAATAAAAAGATAAGAGCCACTGAACAAGCAGGGGTTGGGGCTGCCGTTGGATCTCCCACAGTGCGTGTGATAGTGATTGAAGCCAGACTTTTCCAGCAAATAAGATCTGCAAAATTCCTAACCAGGTAGGGGCTCCGGTGGCTTTCCCAAGGCCTCTGTCAATCCTTTGATGGTCAAATGGTTCTAGAAAGATTTGTCCTTCGTGCAGGCTCATCTCCAAGGGGACCAGCTTTGCCCCTCCTCAAGTAGCCACTGCCCATGTAGGAGGAGCAGCTCTCCACACACCCCATGGCCTCTGGACAAGAGAATCTTATGCAAGATTTGCAACTCCACTCGGCCCCACGGTGGCTTTGCATTTGGGGAAGGACCCACCAGGAGAGACCTGGAGGCCGTGGGCCAGCAGCAGTGTTTGGGGAAGTGGTGAGGCCGTGTTCATTAATGAATTTAGCCTTCTGTTACACCCTCTTAACTGGGACCCGTCTCAGGAATCATCAGAGGAGCCTCCATTCCTAAATCACCTTTTTTTTTTTGTCCCGGGTCTGCATAGGCACACTTCACCCTGGGCTGCAACCCTTATCCTGTCTCGAAGCGGGGCTGCATCCACCCACCTTTAGGACTGTTCTGTGTGTAACTAGAGTCAGAACGGGAGGTTTCTGTACAGGCAAAAGATCAGCGAGGGACTCAGGGTTCCTCTTGCATTTGGCCTTCTGCAGACCTGTTCTTGGCCAAGGCCAAGGCAATGGGCCCTTGGCTCTTGAAACTTCCACCCAGCAGAACTCACTGCCTCCTCTCCTCGTCCTAGAAACACCCTTGGGGCGGAGCCTATCTCTTCGGAGCCTCGGTCCACTCTAAGCAACATTCATGCAGGATGGCGGATAGCCACGTGGGGWGGGGGCCAGGGCTGCCCCAGCAGACACCAGGCTATGTACACACACAGACAGGGTACGGGACGGCTGCCCCGCCTCAGACGGCGGACGCCAGCTTCCTCTTGGTGCTCTCGCTGCAGCGGTGCAGGATGAGGTCGGCGCTGGGTCGCGGGGGCACTGCGGGCTGCGGCTTCGCACGCTGACTCTGCGGATTCTCCCCTGCAGGAGGACCTCAGGCGGGTCAGAGGCCCCGCCCTGCCTCCCAGCCCTTGGCTTCGCCCTCCCTCSGCTCCCGCCTTCTCGCCCCCACACTCCATTTGGCTCCGCCCCCTGGGTCGCCCCGCCTATCGCGCCCTCGGGCCACGCCCCTAGCCCGTAGTCCCTCCTCGTCCTGTAGAGCTCGCTCCGCCCTCTAGCCCCGCCCTGTCTGGCCCCGCCCATGGCTCGCGCCGCCCCAAACTCACCCCGAGGGCTCCCTGCACTCTGCGGCCCTGGTTGCGCCAWGCGGCGACGCTGCTGCAGGAAACGGACGCTGTTGCGACGATAGGAGTCCTGGCTGAGGCGCTTCCGCGACCGCTGGTGGATACTGTGCGCGTTGCGGATGGTCGACCTGGCCCAGCAGGAGGGGGCGTCATCAGAACGCTGGCCCCGCCGCGCCCGTGTCCCTGCTGCCAGGGACACCTAGTGGGCAACTCCCCGCCCCGGGGTCCAAAAATTCTTCCCGCCCCGGGGTCCAAAGACTGGCTGGAGGGAGCGGGAAGTGGCTGGAGGTCCCGCACGGCCCGGGCGGGGACATGCACCTGCCTGGGTCTTGAACACTTAGCCCTGACCCGCTGCAGAGCCCAGGCCACCTCCCACGCACCTTGCTGGCCTTCCCCTTCCCCGGGAAGCCCTCCGGGGCTTCCCCGTGTTCACCGACCACCCCTAAGGCCGGTGAACATCAGCGACGTCGCCTCTATCTCAAGTTCCCGGGGCCCTCCCCGTGCCTGCCCCGCCCAGCCCCASGATCCTCGCACACCTGCGGGGCGGCGCCCCTCGGCCCTTGATCTGGCGCTGGGCCTGGGCCGGGTCCTGTCCCGACTTCTGCAGGTACATGGACGGGAAGTAGCCAGTGACATCCTCCTTCCTGCAACAGAGGCAGCCCTTGAGGCCGGGGCAGAGGTGGGGGGCTCCGGGAAGGCGGTTTAAGAGGCTGCGGGCAACCCAGGCCCCGGCCCGTTTCCCCACCCGCGCTGCGCAGCCCCCTCCAGCTCTTCTTCCAACGGGGAAGGGGAACGACGTTAAGGGAGGGTGCTGGTCCCCCAAGGGTCTGGCGCTCGCTATAGGACATCTGCAGAACTGTATGGTCAGCGTTTCCTTTTGTGGTGATGACCTTTTGTGTCCTATGAAAGTCACATTCTTCTCTGCCAGCTTTTAGGTTTTACCCTGGGTGAAACCTTGTGATCCGTTCAAAATGAAAGTGATCATGTGAGGCGGGGTCTCGGCTTTCCTGCCTCTCCCCATAGGTCTATCCAGCTGTTCCTACAGGTTCCTGGTAGGGCTTCCTCTCCACCCCCAATACTGGATTTGGGAGTGAAAGCAAAACTCTGCACAGCACAGAAGATCCAGGTGAAGCCTAACCCTTCTTGCTGGGGAGAGACTCACAGGAAGACTCCTGGGGTGCGAGCTGGGGTGTTAACTGGAGAAATGCTGCCTCAAAACGAGCCCCCAGCCCAGGGCCAGGTTCGGATGTGTGTTGTGACCACAGCCTTGAGCCCAGGTGGCCCAGGGCTCTGAAAACACAGGCTCTGGGAGGCCCCCTGGTTCCAGAGAGTCTGTTTTCCTCAGAACCAGAAAAAATACTATTGACATTCCTTAGGAGAAGCCTGGAGAGGAATCCAATGAAAGTCTTCAAAGCAAGAGGAATGACTTGRTCATCTGTGCCTTTGTCACACATGACACAAACAGCTGTGCTGCTAGAGGAAGAAAAACTGGTGGACCAGCCAGGAAAAGACCCTAAGTCACAAAGGGACGTGTACCCCTTTGGACCAGTACAGTGAACCCCACAGGACAGGCAGGATGAGCTCATCCCCCAGCCCTGGCTTCTGTGATGAAAACAGCCCAGAGAGGGGTGGTGGCTCACCCAGAGTCACTCAGCCAAGCCAGCTCAGAGCCCACGCAGGTTATGCCCAGGCCAGAACTGACTCAGGTAGGCACTGCAGTGGGGAGGTGCTCTCCTACCTGACCACCCACCAGCCGTCCAGGAGCTTATGAATGACCTCGATGGTTTCCCCCTGGGACAGAGACATCTCGTCCTCCTCTACGGCAGTGTAGGCTTTGATGGTGATGTAGGGCTCACCTGGTGGGTGACAGGGCCACAGGACATGATATGAGGTCCGCCCAGCATGAGGATCACCATCCCTGTCCTCACTCCTACACCCTGCTCCTTCTTGGTCTCCCTCTGTAGGTGCCTCCTGCCACCCACTGCTGGGGTCCACTCTGGCCTTCAGCCCTCTGCCCACTATGCCCAGTGAATTGCTTCCCACCCACCACCACCCACACCAGAGATGAGGAGTCTCATAGCTACCAAGGCCTGGCCAGGCACCCAGATGTGAAAAGTGGGTAGGGGAGCACCCATGCCCGTGGCACTCAGAACCATGCAGCGCTGGCCCAGGGTTGGCACCTGCRGCCGGCAGGCCTTTGCTAGGCATTGGGTTGTTTTTTTTTTTTTTTTTTTGGCGGGGGGTACCAGGGATTGAACCCAGGGACACTCAACCACTTAGCCCAGTCCTATTTTGTATTGTATTTAGAGACAGGGTCTCACTGARTTGCTGAGGCTGGCTTTGAACTTGAGATCCTCCTGCCTCAGCCTCCGGAGCCGCTGGGATTACAGACCTGCGCCACTGTGACCCTGGCTGACCTCCTCCCAGGTCCCCTGTCTCGGCCAAGGACACCATGATCCATGAGGCCCCGAGCCAGAGGATGGGCCTCCGCCTCTGCCCACCTGGCAATCGGGCCCAAACCCAAAGCAGTCACCCTGGCCTCTGCACATCCYGGGCCCTCCCACCCCTGGCCTCTGCACATCCCGGGCCCTCCYGCCCCTTCCTCCRGCAGTCCCGTGGCCTGGCGGTCACCTGCATAGTTGGGCTCTGGGTCCTCTGCCTCATCGGGACTGTCCAGGGGCTCCAGGAAGGATGCTGGCACCCAGCCACGCTTGGCCTTCATTTGGCAGAACCACCAGCCTGTGCCAGGGACATGGGGAGGTAAGAGGTGGGGACGCAGCCTGCCTCGGCCATCAGGGTGAGGACACAGACCCACAGACACCCAGTGCACAGATCCCGCAGTGTCACCTCCATGCCCACAGGCTCCGCGTGACAGCGCCGAGCCCCCTTCAAATGAGCTGTGTCCCCCATATACGGCCCCTGTGGCCCCCCGTGGAACATGGGCGTGGACATGGCAGGGGCCAGGCCCGGGGGCCCCAGGCTGCCCGGCCTTGGTGGGGTGGTGGCTGCGGGGCCTGAGGCCTGCAGCAGGGTGGGGAGCTGACCGCTCTCGCTCTTCTCCACGACCTCCACGATGTCCCCTGTGGCCACGGCCATCTCAGAGGCCGAGTTCTTCCCGTGGTCGGCGATGGCCCGGTACGTCTGCAGGATGATGGGGCTCGTGATATCTGGGGCAGGGGAGGGTGGGGTGAGGAGCAGGGAAGGTGTCCTCCGCACAGGTCGCCAGGGCCGCACAGTCCGCCCCCCACCCGGCAATGCCAGGCTACCAGGCGGGTGGAGGTGGACAGAGAGCCTGGCAGCCCTGCGTCACCCAGGGACCCGCCTTCCCGACACCGGCCCATCCCCCGGGGCCCTTCTCAGCTGCTGGAGGTGACCCCCAGTGGCCTCCTCCAGCATGAACTAGGGTCCGCTGGGGTCCCCTGGGACCTTGCAGGTCAGGTGCCTCTGCAGGGACTTCAGTCCCCACATCAGCCAGCCCCAGACGCTGCCCCCGCTGCTGCTTGCTAGGAGCTCAGCCCTCCCCCAAATTTTAACTCTGGGCCTCAGAATGCAACATGTGTGGACATGGGGCCAAACTAAAATGAGGCCACAGGGTGGACCTGCCGCAGTCCACCCGCGTCCTTGCAAGGAAAGATGCCCGGATRTGTAGGGAGCCCAGGGAAGGCCGGAGGGGGCCCAGCAAGCTACGCAGAGCCCCCAGGAGACCAGCCTGCTGACCCCTTGACCCTCGGCCTCCAGCCTCAGAACCGGGAGAAAGTCCACTCCTGCTGTGCACGTCCCTCGGGCCACGGTGCCTCGTGTCACAGCCAACAGGCACCACTGGTCTCCGGGCCTCGTGGAGGCCTCGCTCGGCTGAGGATGCTCCAAGGCTGAGCTGCCCAGGCCACACTCAGGAGCCCAAGTCCCACTGCACGGATGGGTGGCCTGGGCAGGAGTCTGAAGTCACGTCAGACTCAATGGCACAGCCGTTCCCACCTCCTGTCCCTACAGAGGTGGTGACTTGGCTGGTATTCTTTTCTCTTGTTCTTTCTTTCAAGACGGGATCTCATCACATTGCCTAGGCTGCCCTTGAACCCCCGAGGTCACGTGCGCCCCCACTCAACAATCCAGACTAGAAACGGTCACACCCTTGTGTCACCCCTGAAGGCCACTTTGGCTCCCAACACCTGTTCATTCACTCAGTCACACGTGTCCCCCAGGCTGCTGGGAGCAGGGGCTGTGCGGGGCTCTGCAGCCACGGGGTGGAGACACACCACCACCTGCACAGTGTCCCCCTGAGACCCAACTCTTCCATGGGACAACACGAGCCGGCACAGCCCACTCTCCCCAGCTGCTGTCTCCCCTGCCGGCCCCAAGCTCTGGGTCCCTGACCACGTGGGCAGTACCCAGGTACCCCTGCTCCTGACCCCGCCCTCTCACCTGCCGCGTTACTCTTGCCATCTTTGGGCATCAGGTATGTCTCTGGCTTCTTCACCCTAAGAAGAGAACAGTCTGGGTCAGATCCTGGGCCTCCCACTGGGGAAGGGAAGGCTCTGGGCAGACCTGCAGGAGGACTTCCCAGGAGCTAAGAAATGAGGGGAATTGTCAACRCAGGGAACAGTAGAGGCTAGATCCGGGAGGGAGGCCTTGGGGAACCACCAGGGCTTCTGCTGGGTCAGCCCAAGGGAGGGGCGCGCAGAGGGCTGGCAGCCCCAGGGAGGCAGAGGCCCTCCTCTCCCGGCTGGGTGACCCCACACACTGGTGGCTGCAGGTGCCCTTCCCCTGGGGCCTCAAGAGCCTCCTCGTTCCTATCACCTCCTCCCGCCATGGAGCTGCCCTCCCTTGGACCAAGCCGCAAGTTCAAGGTCAACAAGTGCAGTCTGGGGCAGTGCCATCAGGCTCTGCCTCCCTTTAGAGACAGACCTGTCCTCCAGGCCCGTCCCTGAGTTTGGTGATCAGAGAGAGACTGGTAGAGGCCCCTCGCCCCAGCTGCTTGGAACTCACTCAGCCTCCCAGGTGGCTCCATGCAGGACCTGGGTACAGGAGCCCAAGACCCGCTCAGCACCCTGCATCCCTGAAGGACACTGGAGATATGCTGTCACTGCACCTGGCATGACACCCATCCCTCCATCCTCACCCCCCATCACGAATGCATTCAGAGGGTGGAGGGGCCACTCCTGGTCCACAGGCCGCAGGGTCAGGACGAGACCTAGGACTTTGGGCTTCCCTCAGCACCAGGGGCTCAGAGGAGTCCCAGGCCAGATGACACCACCTGGGTTGGCACCTGCCTCCTCCTTTCCAGCTGTGTGACTGGGACAGGTCACTTGCCCTCTCTGAGCTTGGAGCTTCTGATCTGTAAAATGGGGCAGACCCCACTGCCCTCCAGGCCCACTCCCGCCTTCCCGCTCCTGCCTGGTGGGMGGAGGCGGCCACTTACTGGCTGTCCGAGGGGAGCTTGAGGTCATCCGGGCGCACCTTGAAGAAGTCCAGGAGGTGTGGGCAGCGGGAGATCTTGGCGGGCAGCCCCATGAGCGCGTTGCAGTACTCGGTGAGCGTGCCCTGGCGGCTCTCCGCCGCCCGCTGGCCGTCAAACCACCTGGGAGCTGGCCGGAGGGGCGAGAGACCAAAGGCGTGAGCGCACCCACAAGGTCAAGTCCAAGGGGAGTGCKGGCAGGGGCCGTGGAGGGGGGCAGGGGCCGGGCGGTGGCCAGCGCCCTCACCTGGGAGGTGGGGGATGATCCTGTTCTCGGGGTTGATCTCTCCGGCCTCGATGGGGAACATTTCTTTTAACAATTTCTAGAAGAAGAAGGGAAGATGCTGAGGACCTGGCCCCCTTGGACCCCTCGGGCCAGGGACRCCCAGGCCTGGATCCCTCCTCCTCGCCTGCCCTCCCCCAGGTCACCAGGGAATCCTTTCCCTCCACCCCCGGCTGTGCTGGCCCCGGTCAGGGCACCTGGCCATGCGACCTACACCCCTCCTCCTTCTCTCTCCCACCCACCYGCCCGTGCTGTGAGTGCTCCCCGCAGTGGGGACACGCAGTGGCTAACATTTCGACACCCAAAACTGTGGGTCAGGGACCTGGGTTCCCTTGTTCCCCAGGACGGCGGGCAGGACCCTCCCAAGGACAGAGCCGRGCGGACCAGTGTCCCCTGCCCACCCCACACTCACGTGGAACTCGTAGATCTCGGTGAAGCGCCGGTACACCACCTTCTCAGACAGGTCCTGCCACTTCACCAGGAACATGTACACCTGCGGGGACAATGGGGACAGTCACCTCACTCAGCCTCCCGGGTGGGGCTGCCCTGAGCCCTGGAGGAAGCTGAAGGTTGGGGTGTGGGTGCCCTGGGGGRCCTGGGCCACAGAAGCACAGCCTCGTGGACGGAGGAGTGTCACTCTCCAGAGCTGGGACGGGGAATGTTCCAGAATATTCCAGAATATTCCTCCAAATCTCAGGCAGAAGGCTTGGTCCCCATGCAGCACTGTCCTGGGGTGGAGCAATTGGATCACGAGGGCCCTGATGTCCTCGGTGGACTGACCCGACAGCTGGATGGAGTCCYCTGTTGGTGGGAACTGCAGGCTGTCGGGAACGGCTGGGAGCGGGTCCSTGGGCCACGCCCCTGGGGACCATGTCCTGTCCCTGGCTCTCTTGGGTTTCCGCCCTGCTTCCCAGCGCCAGGAGCACAGCCGCTTGGCTCTGCCGCGTCCTTCTGCCACGATGGCCTGCCTCACCCCAGGACGAGGGTCATGGCGTCTGCCAATCGGGGACCGAACCTCCGAAACCAGGAGCCCCAGATAAACCTCTCCTCCCTCTTGGTCACAGTGACAAGAAGCTACTGACCCATGAGGCAAGACAGGCAGCTCCCTCTGGGGTTAGGATGTGGCCTGTCCCCGAGGGCTCAGTCCCCAGTGTGAGGGTGTCAGGAGCTGGTGGGACCCTTAAGAGGTGGAGGCTCGTAGGAGGGCGTAGGCACTGGGAAAGGATGAAGATGGTTCTTGTGGGACCTTTTGATTAGTTCTTGTAAGACTGAGGTCGTTCTCTGGCTTCTTGTCCTGCCATATGACCTCTCTCCTCTCTCTGGCGCTGCAACCACTGTGGTGCCATCCGCCATGACACCCTCCCCAGAGTCTACGCCAAGATGTTTGGACTTTCAGCCTCCTCACCTGAGAGCTCAGCTAATCCCTCTTCTTCCTAACTACCCAGCCTCAGGCATTTTGTTCTAGTAATGACAAATGAACAGATATAGTGTCTCTGACATTAATTCGGATTCCTAGTCATATAAATTAGAGAGAAAAGTAGGCCCTCACCCCTAAAGCTGGTGTGGGTGTCACACGAAGTTGGGAACGAAAAGGGGTGTGCCTCAGCCGTGGAAGAACTCAGTAAGATGATGTACAACTGCATTCCTACGAAATGTCCAGACCAGWCAGATCCAGAGAGACAGACAGGAGAGGCGTGTGTGGTCGCTGGGGCTGGGCTGGGGGGAGTGGCTGCCAACAGGTGCAGACTCTTCTGGAGGGAGGTGTGGCGGAGAGGTTTCAAGTTGACTTGGGCAACGATTGCACAACTGCGAACACACTTGAAACCGTCGGATTGGGTGCCTGTGAGTTACAGCTCCATAAAACCATTCACAAAACAATTCAGTATAAGAACACAACTCTGCAAAATGTTAGGAGGACATTCTTCAGCATCCCAAGGAGCAAATCAATGATGCGTGTCACAGTGTGGCGGGGTCTGCAAGTCACTGTGCCAGGCACGAAAGGCCACCGCTGGCTGTCTGATCCCACATCTAGGACGTCCTGCATCAGCAGGGCTGCCGGGAAGGGCAGGAAGTAAGGACAGGGATGGCCGCTGGGGTGGGGAGAGATGGGGAGTGAAGCACCTTCTGGTCACACAGAGACCAGCCCTCTCCAAACCCAGCAGAGGCACCTTGGAGATTGGTGGATTTCACTTGATGTAAATTTGGGATCAGAACAGAAAAAACTAGAAWACTGAGCTGTGGTTAGTGACGTGCTGAGGGATCCAGGACAAAGCCGATGGTGTTTGCGATGGACTTTGAAATGCACCAAAAATAAAATGAACAGACAGAAATGGGGTGTCACTCAGGTGTGGAGCCCTGGTTCAGCCCTCAGGAAGCCCTGGGCTCCATCCCCAGGCACCGAAAAGAAAAAAAGTGTACACAGGATGATAAAACCAGCACAGGAAAGTATTCACGTGTGTGTGTGTGTGCGTGTGTGTGTATTTTTTTTTTTTTTTGATACCAGGGATTGAACCTGGGGTGTTCAACCCCTGAGCCCCAGCCCCTGTTGCTATTGATTTTTGAGCCGGGTCTGGCTGTGTTGCCCAGGCTCCGGGCGTGGTCTTGAACTCCTGGACTCCAAAAAGCAATCCTCCTGCCTCAGTCTCCAAGCAGCTGGGACCACAGGTGCACAGCAGTACGACCCTGAACCCAGCTTCAATGGGTGTTTGCACACGAACTTTCATATGTCAACAGCAGGGAGATAGAAGGGACCCAAATGTCTAAAATATGTATGTGGGTAAACAAAATGTGGTCCAGGCGCATAATGGAAAGTTATTCGACCATGACAAGAAAGGAAATTCTGCCCCATGTCACAAAGCAGATGGACCTGGGGGCCGGCATGCAGAGGAGGCAGCCAGGCGCTGGAAGTCAGGACCGCACACTTCCGCTCACGCCAGGTTCCTAACRGTGGCCAAAGGCAGGCAGCAAGCTATAGGTGGTGGCTGTGGGGCCAGAGGGGGACACCAGGAGGTGCTCTTTACTGTGTGGAGGTTCAACCTAAGATAATGAAAGCCTCTGTAGACGGGTGGTGGCCCCGGGGGAGAGGGAACAAGAGAGTGCGCTCAACCCTGGGAGCTGTGCCCTTAAAGATGGTTGAAATGGCAGCTTTCATTTAGTGAGGACCTAAGAAACTCAGCAAGACCTGTCTCTAAATAAAGTATAAAAAAGGGGGCTGGGGATGCGGCTCAGCGATTAGGCACCCCTAGGTTCAATCCCCAGTACCAAAAAAAAAAGCAAAAATTGTGAATACACACACACACACACACACACACACACACACACACACACGATGTCCACAGCGCCCCCATGCCTGGCTTTAAAAAAAAATTTTTTTTTGAGAGGTTCTTGCTAAATTGCCAAGGCTGGCCTCAAACTTGTGATCTTCCTGTCTCGGCCTCTGGAGTTGCTGAGACTACAGGCGTGCACCACTCGGCCTGGCTAATTGTTGTATCTTATTACTCATGACTGTTAATCTCTTACTGGGCCTAACTTATATGTCAAGCTTTATATCATAGGTATGTACGTATAGGACACGTCAGGTTCTGTTCTGTCCCCAAATTTCAGGTGTCCCCTGGGGGTCCTGGAATCCATCCCAAAGGACTAAAGGAGACTTGCGTAATGAAAGTAGTTGTAACCCACTGGGTGAACCAGGAACCTAGGTGCCCATGTGGACATAAGTGAGCAAACAAATGAGGAGGGAGATCTTGACAGTCAAGTGCAGACAGAATGGCCGTTTATGAAATCACTCTCAGGAGGGCTCCCGTCATTCGGGCAAGGGTCCTCGGGAACAGGACAGTCCCATCATTTCTGACACTCTCTCCAGAGGTTGGCTACCAATGACAAAGGGGAAAACAGAAGCTCGACCACAGACGACCTTGGAAGACAGCCCAGAGCTGGAGCCAAAAGTCCAAAAGTGGGACCAGCTGAAACTGCAGGCACCTGCCAGGTCGAAGGAGCCTGGAGTGGCCTCCAAGACGTCCCTGCCCAGGCCGTCCAAGCCAATCTCATGGAGGCTTTTGATGAACCCAGACGGACATTCCACAGAGCACCTGGCCTGCCCTCTCCAAAGTGCCAAAGTTGAGAAGGACAAAGACCTGTGAAGAAGGCTCTGGGGATCTGCTCCATTGGCCAAGTGGCCACCTCGATGCACAGGGTTTGGTCCCCACCCCCCAAAAGAATGATCCAGATTAAAGAAGACGGTGATGGCTGATTGGTCACAGACGTCGTGCTGAGCCTGAAGACACTAACACGGAGGACACCTGCATGCAGTCTGTGGCCTGGGGACTGGAGCCTGTCAACACCGATTCCTTGACTTTGGCTGGCGGCCACCGTCGTCATGTAACACGGGGCACCTAGAGTTCATGGCCACCCTGAGATAACTCAGATAATCTGGGCTCAGAGGCCGGGGAGGAGGAGGGTGCGGGAGGAAGAGTCGTGGTCTTGGCCCCTGTGCTAAGCTGACACAAGGGTCACAATCTACTAAGCAGGGGACCTCCCTGACTCCTCTGGGCTTGGGGACCCAGTGACAAGGTGGCATGTCTGGGCAGGACAGGGACATTTTTGCTCCCCCTGTTGGTGTGGCCCTGAGGAGTTAGACTGTATGTAACTGACACCAGGAGCAGCTGGGACAGCCTGGCTGGGGGCCACCGGGTGCCAGGCTGCAGGACAGTGGCGGGCGGGAGTGTCTGCAGCCAGGACAGCCCATGTCCACCACGACCTGGCCGACCATGACCACCAGCCCAAGACCCTGAGACCCCATCCTCACCAGTCCAGGTGGCCCCTGTGTGGCGAGGTGACATCACCGTCCCCCACGGCCGCCCACCAAGTGGTCACGCGCAGTGCTGCTGGGTACTCACGTAGTGCTGGCTGGGGACGAAGCGCTTCTCGAAGCCCAGGAGGGCAACGTGGCGGATGAAGGTGTCCCCCATGGCTGTCAGCGGTGCAGGCTTGGCCTCCCCAGGAGCCGCCCAGGCTGGGCCTTAAATGTGCTGGAAAGAGGAAGTTGGTGGCGACTGTCCCCACTGGGCGGGGACGGGGAGGGCGCAGGAAGGGCTTCGCTGCTTCTTTCAGTTTCTAGGGAATTTTTTGAAGCTCCGACAGGGGGGTAAGGGGACGGGGACAGAGATGGGCAGCCACAGGGCATGGGCCAGGCACTCGCAGCAGGATGGCTCGACCTCCCCGACCTCCCAGGGAGGCCCACAGGTGGCCCTGGTGCCCATGTGGCCCATCCCAGGGCCTGTCTCCTGGGGACACCCACTGCTCCCACCTCAGGGCCCTGGCACTGTGACAACCTGGTTTCATCTTCCCACATCTGTGAYCCTATCCTCATTTCCTGCACGTTGGCCAATGTCACCTCCACTGAGAGGCCTTCCTTGATAATGTCACACAGAACAGGACGCTTCGCCCCCCACCTTCCTGCTCTACTGTTGTCCCCAGCGCCCATCCTGATGTGTCACCAACTTCACTTCTCTGCTGGCCAGAGCGTGCGTCCTGGAGGGCAGGCCCTGGCCCCTCAGTCAAGGGCTCTGGTCCCACCCCTATGCACAGAGGGCCCTGCAGTTCCTGGGCTGTGACCCCCTGCTGCTGAGTGACTGAGCCTCTCCTTGGAGTGCATGTGCACACGTCCCCTGAGGAGCATGTGGGACTGTCACAGCCGGGACATGTCTGGCACAGCTCTGAGTGAAGCCCAAGTTCTGATTAGGGAATCTGTCCTTGTGAGCAGTTTCCTGTGTCCCTTCTCTGGGTGTGCCGGTGTGCCGGGGATCCTGGCACCTGGGTAGGCAGGTCCCGCCACATGGAAGAGCAGCTTCCTGGAGCACTCGGGGGTCCGGAGGTGAAGGCACCCCCTGTAGCACTCAAGGCCTGGCCTGGAAACCACCTAGGCCAGCCTGAGGTGCTGGGAGCCAGGTGACCTCTGGCTCTGGGGCGGGGACAGCAGCAGGGGCTGGACAATGCGCCCTTCCTTGAGAGGGATCCTGGTTCCCTGAGTGAACTCATTGTCTGAACTTCGAGTAAGGTCACAGCTGTCCTTCTGTAAGAGGTTGAAAACAGGTTCCGTGGCCCACGCCTGTAGTCCCAGGGGCTGGGGAGGCTGAGGGAGGAGGATGTGAGTTCAAGGCCAGCCTTAGCAATATCGAGGCCCTAAGCAGCTCTGTGAAACCTGTCTCTGAATAAAAATGCAAAATAGGGCTTGGGACATGGCTCTGTGGTCAGTGCCCCTGAGTTCAATCCCTGGTTACTGCCCCCCCCCCCCAAAAAAAAAAACACAAAAAAACAGAGGTTGAAAACAAATGGGAGACTGAGCAGACCCCAGGCTGGTGGCTTTCCTCCTGCCACCTCAGCTCCGCGTCCCCTCTGGTCCCGTCGCAGGTGCCGTGGCCTAGAAGGACCTAGGCACAGGACTGCTGCAACTGGCCTCTGGCCTCAGCACTTCCTTCCCCTCCCAGGCTTCCTACTCTTGAGTAACTGCCCAGCCAGGCCTTTGGGTCCTGGGGACACCAGGCCTGGCTCAGCTGCCACCCTTCTGCAGCCTCCGGAGACCTGGCCTTGTGCCTATGTAACCCCTGGCACAGGCCAGGTAGTGCCAAGAACATTTGACCTTGTAGTGACCTCTGTGAGCAGGCCCTAGGCCTTTGTCAGGGTGACATGGGATTCATGTGAACGCACAGATGGAGCACTTTGGTGACCAGATTATTATTATTTTTTTAAGGAACTGAAGGCCCGGGATGTAGTCCAGTGGTACAGTGTGCACTGAGGACATGCTGGGCCCTGGCTCGGAGCCCCAGTACAGTGGGTGAACCCCTTCCCTGCCCCACAAAGAGGGATGAACAAATAGGGAAGGAGATGATGAATACAGACTTTTTGTGGGGGAGGAGATAAAATTTTTAAAAACTTTAAAAAATTGTGAAATAGGGCTAGGGCGCGGCTCAGCGGCAGGGCTCTTACCTAGTGTGTGAGGCCCTGGGCTCCGTCCCCTGCACCACATAAAGTCATTTAAAAAATGTGAAATATGTAGAAAACTGCAGTTTAGCTAAGCAGTATGAATTATGACTGCTACAGACATCCAGGGAGCTGTCACCTGGGCAATGAAGCAATACCCGAGTTCCCCAAATCCCTAGGTCCCCAGCAGGAAGGATTCCGGGTCAGGTGCAGTGTTTCGCACTGTGATAACAGCGTCTCTCCAGGACCCTTAGTGCTGCACTTCACAGATGGGAGAGGCAAGGGGGAGGGGTCACAAGGTGGCCCAGCTGGCAAGCAGAGCCAGAACTGGAACCCAGGCCCGTCCTCCAACCCCACAGCCCCCTCCCAGCCAGCCTGCAGGAAGGAGGGAACTTCTCACACCAGGCCAGACGGGAGGGGAGGCAGGGAGGACCTTGGCTTCCCTCAGGCCACTCGGCTTTCCCCAAATGGGCTGGTCTGGTCATTTCCTTACCCAGGAAATCCCCGAGACTGGGCCCGTGGACAGTGTGGAAAGGGGCTTCACGTCTGGAAACCAGGCCCAAGCAGGGCCCTCTGGGATCTTGTGCCAGGGGAGGTGATCTTTGTGGCGGGACAGTTCTTTTGAGGCCTAAGACCCTTCTGGTGCCCTTCTTAGGGTCTCGACATCCTGATCCTCTGTCAGGCCACTGGGACAGCCCTTGGCCAGCCCACAGAACAGTTCTAGACAGGCCCAGAGCAGCAGGAGGGGCCCCAGAGCCAACTGCTTGGCGGGACACTGGCTCTGTGGGGCCAGGTCGCAAGGGCAAGAGGTTTCTCCAGGTTACTCATAGGGGCTCCGCCTCCCAGGGACCCCAGTTTCCCTTCAGCACAATCATGTGGGGGGTGCCCTACTGAGCAGGGATAGACACCTGGCCACTGCACAGAGGACACAGGCTCAGGCCACGCCACTGGCCCCGCTGCATGGGACTCTTCTCTAGGGCAGCTCACGGTCTCCTTGGGTCTCTGTTCAGGGGCACTGGAGGTTGGGGTACCCAGGCCCCCGACAGGCCCAGTGGGGAGGACACATTGCTGGGCTGTGAGCACTCCGACCCTGAGGCTGGTCCTGACAATCCCTGGCCAGTCTGCTTAAGCCCTCTGGGCCTCAGTTTTGCCAACTGTACAAGGGCAACTGTGCACAACTGTGCCCACCTCCTGGGCTCCTGTGAGGACTAAACAAGGTGAGGTGCCAGGGCTGCCTCCGTGGTGCAGGGACGCAAGGGGAGGGGCAGTTCCAGGCCAGGGCTCAGGGGGTCTTGCTGCAGAACGTGGGCCCGTTTCAGGTTCAGCCGGCGGGGCAGCAGCACCTGCGGTGGGGCAGATCTGCCCAGGCTTCCTGGGCCAAAGGCCAGGCCGGTGGTGGAGGTAGTCTGGAGGCTGCCCTGGCCACGCCTATCCCACTGCGCTTCTGTCCTCTGGAAATACCTGTGGGAGAGATGGGGACTCTCCAGGCAGCCCCACCCAAAACCTGGCTCCCCTTGCCCTTCCCGCTGCCCTGCGGCAGCACTCCCAGCCAGCCCAGCAGCTCGGTACCACCCAGGGCTGAGTGTGAGCCCAGGGTCCAGTCTTCAGGGTGGGTTGGCCACTTTTGCAGTTGTCCCCAAGAGTGCAGAGCCAGCAGTGGTGGGATGCAGCCTGTCACTACCCAGGGAGACCCAGGGCGCAGCTGGCGCAGGGCATATGTGGCTTTGAGGGACGCACACCAGGGTGTCCTGCCAACCAGACCTTTTGGAAACCTGCCTGTGGCACACTTAGGTCCTGGCTCCTAGAGGGGCCGCCACTGCACAGCAGAAGCCCCAGTAACGCAGCCCTCTTCCTCTGTAACCAACGAGGCAGGAAGCACCTTCCACAAACAGGTGTTGTGTCACCGCCTGTGTCACTTCCCCAAAACCAGACCACCAGCAAGGTACAGTGGCCTCAGGCACAGAGGGAGCACCGCAGCCAGACAGCCCTTGGTTTTGGCCAGTGTGCAGAGGGAAGGAGCCGGCTGGCTAGGCCCACAGCACCTGCCATGAATCAAACCCGGAGCAGAGGCGAACCCCGGGATAAGGGAGCAGGGCAGCGGAGTCCGCACTAGAAACAGATGCCTGAAGGGTCCCCTCCTCCCTGGGAGCACATGACATCTTCAAAGCATGCACCCCAAGTCCAGAAACTGGGGCTCCCTTCCAGGGGGGTGACTGCTGGACCCTGAGTGTCCGGAGGTGCACACTTGGTGACAATCATCTGCCCACTAAGAGTCAGCAAATGCCAGAGCTGGTCGCCGTGTGGACATGGCCGGGGCTGGGCGCTGCATGGGTGTGGCCAGGGCTGGCTCATACTGTCTTCCTCCCATACAGACCTGCTGGCTTCTGGGGCAGGAGGCAGATGTGGGGGCTGAGGAGGCCCAGAACCAGCACCTCCGTCCGAGGGAATGGAGGAGGAGTGCCACCCGGGCCCCAAGGCTGCGCAGGCCCAGACTCAGGCTTGTGTAGGGTGGGGCGTCAGCTTCCTCCAGAGCCCTGGACCTCACTGCATAGGACAGTTTGTGCAGTTGCCAACGCCCGCCTGTGTGCTGTGGCTGGGGGCAAGGGCAGTTGTTTCTGGTGCCAGGTGGCTGGCTGCCCTGAAGGCCCTAGGCAAAGGCCACTCCAGGACAGAGCTTGACCCTCAGGCTCTCCCCCAGGGCTTGGGGGCAGTGAGATTTACCCTACTTGGCCAACAGGACTGAATTCCTACCGTCCAGGGACACAGACCTGCTCTAGGAGTGGGGTCTGCAAGGGTCCCAAAGCCTTGTCCCGAGTCACCTGACCACACTGGCTGGTCATCCCATCCCACCTTGAACTACCACGGAATCACGTTGTCCCACGAACAGGAACACGTCAGATCTACCTCAGATCCCAGACACGTTTTTTTTTTTCAAATTCAGACCTAAAGGCTAATGGGCAAATCTCACCCTCCCACCTCCTAAATAACCGTGCTCCTTCCCACCGGCCTTCTCAACAGGGGGGCCAGGCCTCTGTGGGGGCTGCTGGGCTCCAATCAGGCCACAGCTTCACTGTCACCATCTTAAACAGGCCTGGCCACTCTGCCATGTGCTGTGGCTTGGGCAAGTGCCCCCGAAGGCCATGGTGCTGTTGAGGTGGGTCCTTAAGGAGGTGGGGCCCCAGAGTGGAGTTGGCCACCGGGGCTGTGTCCTTTAGGGAATACTGGGACCCCTGCCTCTTCCCGTCCCTTGTGCTTCCCAGAGTCCACGAGGGCAGCTTCCTCCCCCAGCCCACCAGCCAGGTGTGGCCTCATGGCCTGACCAGCAGCAACTAACTGGGTTAGATGGAAACCTTTGGAACCACCAGATAAACCCTTCTCCTTCCAAGCTGATCATCTTCAGTATTTTGTTATGGAAACAGAAAGCCAGCACAGTGTTGCTGCTGAGGGGCAGCCTGGTAAGGTGGCCACCCCGGGACACACAGACGGCCAGGAAGGGAGCTGGGCAGGCCTGCCCCTCCACGCCTGTCCAGGTCACAGAACATGCAGGAGGTTGGAGGCGCTCCTCACACCTGAAGACCAGCGGCCTGAGCCTGGGCAGACTGCTCAGGAGACACCTGTCACTAAACCCTAACGGGGGCCTGTGCATAAAGCACACAGGGGCAGACCTCTGGTCTCACAGGGAGGCTGCCCCGTTGTGGGGCGGGGCGGCAGAGCTGGGCACAGGGAAGCTGAGATCCTCCCAGAGCAGCTGGCCTCCCCATGCGGCTGGCAGTGCCCTCCCTCTGCAGAGAGGGGTCTGGCCTACGAAGCGCTCAATGCGCAGGGGCTCCACCTGGAACCCCACCACTTGGGAGGCTGGAGCAGGAAGAGCATGTCATTTCAAGACCAGCAGAGGCAACAGTGAGACCCTGCCTCAAAAAACAAAACAAAAAAACCCAAAGGAACCTGAGCACATCTACCTAAACTACGCTTCTTCCCCCACGGCTGGCACACCCCAGGGAGACTGGAGGAGGACTGGTGTGACAGAGGCCTCAGGAACACGAGGGACAGCTGTGTCCACCCACCAGGTACCACAGGCTCTGGGCAGCACCAACCTGGCCCTCGTCCATAGATCACCTGCCACGACCTCACCCACTGGGCTCCCAGACACTCAGGAAGACACCTCAGAAAGAAATGAAGGGGTGAGTGAAAGGCATGGATGGATTTTATTTATTACCCTATATCTACAATTTAATTTGAGGTAAAATATAAGTAACACATAAAAATGCCTATTTTGCTACCGTGTATATGATTCTCCATGTGAACATCGTGATAAGTAAAGAGAGCGCTATGCCTCCCCGCCTCCAGCTCCACAGCCGGCATCGAGACCCACAGTCTGAACTCCCCACACACCAGGACTCTCCTATGTATGGCGCAGAATAGCAAGGGTGCAGAATCAATCAACCTGCTGGCCCTGCTGCCCACTGGTGCCTCAGTGTCCCACGCAGAATTAGAAAATGACAGACGGTGACAGCCCACGCCACAGATTCCGAGGCGCAGCTTGCCTGAGCGCTCAGACCCAACCCTGACTCCCAGGCTACGCTTTGGACGAAGCGTAGAGGTGGAAGAGGGATCTGCAGGCCGTCCACCCACGCCGGGCCTCTCACCGACCGTCAGGCGTCCACACGGTGGTTCTCTTCATTCTGATAAAAACGCAGGAACCATGATAGATAGCTTAGGAAAAGGTCTAGTCAAATGTACAGATGACTACTATTCACTCGGCCTTCAAGGACAGCGGTGAACAAGGRGCATTTAAATGATTCTTCCAATAGAAAAACTAAAGAACTGACTATCACAGGAATTTTCTTCGATGCAGAAGCTGAGATGTTCCCGTAGGAGATATCTTCTCTCAACTGGAAAATACACACCACGCCGAAGGCTCTGCTGGATACGTCCAAACATCTGCTGAGAGTCGTCCCTGTCATTTCCCTGTCGTGTTCCCAGCATTGCTGAAATCCTTAATATACATTCCAAAGTAAACCAGCCATTCCAAATCTACAGTCACTCTGCTCTTTAATTCAATTCACAGAACTGCTGAAAAAGTAGACATTTCTATCTAAAAGTAGAAAAAAAGGTTTGTATAGAAGGTATTTCTGTTATACAAGTATATTACACAGCTTGGGGCAGTAACAGGTCCAAAAAGCTCTTCTCAACCACTGACACCTTAAGCTAAAATGAGAAAGAATAAACAAGAAGACAGGTTAATTTGATTAAAAGAAATTTCACATTCATACATATTAGAACACAGAACTGCAATTTTTGATTACAATTACTTGGACTGAAATGCACTTATGAGGTGACATGAGACCTGAAATCTATGAATTGGCAACAAAAGACAAATTTCAATCAAGTGGCTGGATCCAACAAGCCACAGTCAGGGTCTGCACATCAGAACCAGCTGTTTCCGGTAGCCACCAGCGCATGGACAGAGGTGGTTCAGGGGTCCAGGAGGAGACTCCCATTTTCCTGACTCTTGGTCTAATCTACACCTGGAACAGTAAAACTGGACTTGTAACTCAACATGCAGAACTAAGAATGCACCTGAGGCTCCACCACACTCTGCAAAAACTGTTTGGTATTTTTTTTGGCATCAGGAATTAAACCCAGGGGCACTTAACCACCGAGCGACATCCCCAGCTCTTTCTATATTTTATTTAGAGACAAGGTCTTGCTAGGGTGCTTAGGGCCTCAATAAGTGGCTGAGGCTGGCTTTGAACTGGAGATCCTCCTAACTCAGCCTCCTGAGCTGCGGGGATGACAGGCGTGTGCCATGTGCCCGGTTGACTATTACTACAGGACAGAAGTCCAGTGATAATGCCTCAGAGGAATTCCAGTGGCTGGGGGCAAATGCAGCCTTTACCTCTTTGACTCGGAGAGGGATATCGATACAAGGAAAACCTCTGCTTTAAGCTCCTAGCTCAAACAATCCTGCAGACCTTGCACATGGCCCTGCATCCCTGAAGGTGGTGCCCCATCTCCCAGGAGAAGGAAGGATGCTGATGGGCAGATGGACATGCAGCTGGTCTGAATGGACAGGGAACAGCAGAGGGGACACAGTGGCAACTCACCCTGGGAGGGAAGAGGTCTACCACGTGGGATCTGGTTCTTGCTTGATCTGAGAGTTTCCGTCAGTCTCCTTAATTTCTATCAGGAACAATAAAAGGGTGCTGATCAATCACTTGCTAATGAAAGCCTGCCAATTACCCATCCATTCACAACTGACATGAGTTAAATTGTATATTTTATTATTTGTGTTTTCTCTACTTTTTTTTGCAGGGCTTGGGATTGAACCCAGGGCCTTTGCATGCTAGGTAAACCCTCTACCACTGAGCAACATCAACAAGCCCTTGTTACTCGTGTTTTCAAAGAGAAACATCTGATTATGTCTATGCACTCAATGACGACCATTAAGCACCACCTCAGTTACAGAGCAGTTATTCAACTGCTCTAGAATTTACCAAAGTATCTAGGAAAACAAAGGAATAGCAGCCATGGGTCAGCTCTAAATGTCTCCTGGCATAAACTATGACTCTAGTTCACTCACAAACAAAAGAACAAAACCACCACACAGTTTTATAAACAATTTATCATCTGTCCTAATAAAAGCCTTCAGAATCTTCAGACTTTCCCAAGTGGACCACGACCACCCTTTTACCTTCCGTTGCTGGTACTTCCAACTGGCTTGGCTCAGCTGATTCTAAAGAGAAATACATGAAGACATTTTAATAGTGTTCAAAGGATGCTTTCAATTATTTAAGAATCTGGAAGGAGGACAAGGGAGAAACCTTCTAATCTTTGTAAGCAAACCACAAGCCCAAGAAGAAACCATAACCAGTGTCTGGGGATTCCTCCTAAAATTATTCAACAACATTTTCAAATTCGTACTTTTCTGAGACGTGTTAATAAGTGAGAATATACAACCAAACAAATGAAGTCTTCGGTAACAATTTTTTTTTTTTTAAATGTTGATGGATCTTTATTTTATTCATCTATTTTATTCTGGTGATGAGAATCGAACCCAGGGGCTCACGCAGGCTAGGCAAGTGCTGAGCCACAACCCAGCCCTTCAGAAGCATTTTTTTAAAAATATTTTTTTAGATGTTGATGGACCTTTATTTTATTCATTTATTTAGATGTGGTGCTGAGAATTGAACCCATAGCCTCACACATGCTAGCCAAGTGCTCTGCCAACGAGCCACAACTCCAGCCCCTAGAAGCAGTTTTTTGAGGGGGAGTGTGCTGTGAACGGAGCCCAGGGCCTCATACATGCTAAGCACGCACCCGAGCAATGCCCCCACAAGTAAATAACAATCTTTTTTTATTTTTATTTTTTAATTTTTGCAGTACTGTGGATTAAATCCAGGGGTGCTCTACAACTGGGCTACATCCCCAGCCCTTCCTATTTTTTGAGTTAAGGTTTCCCTAAAGTTGCTGCAGCTGTCCTTGAACTTGGTGTCCTCCAGCCTCAGCCTTCTGAGCAGCTGGGATCATAAAGAAGGGCCACCGCGCCCAGCTCCAAGTAACAATCTTTTTTTTTTTGGTACCGGGGATTGAACTTAGGGGCACTCAACTGCCGAACCACATGCTCAGCCCTATTTTGTATTTTATTTAGAGACTGGGTCTCAATGAGTTGCTTAGTGCCCTGCCGCTGCTGACGCTGTCTTTGAACTCGAGATTTTTTTTTTTTAATTCTTTCTTTTTAATTTCTAGTTGTAGATGGACACAATACCTGTATTTAATTTATGTACTTATTTGTATGCGGTGCTGAGGATGGAACCTAGTGCCTCACACCTGCTAGGCAAGCGTCCTGCCCCGGAGCCCAGCTGGTCACCAATCTTGATGTGGCTGTGAACAGGGAGCAGGAAGCTCCTTCTGTTTTCCATCAATTCTTCCCTGGGTTGCCTTCAATAAAAGCTTTTCATTACTTTCAACAATCTTAACACTAGCAGCCATTCCCCATTTTTGAGGAAATCCAAAAAGACAACTCCTACCCAACACAAGCTGGCTCACTGATTTGCAGCAAGTGCCAGAAAGTGCCAGCAGGAGACAGGTAGGTGGCACATGCCTGTGACTCCATTGACTTGGGAGACTTTGGGAGGGGCATCTCAAGCTCCAGGACAGCCTAAGTAAAAAGACGAGTCTTTCACCCTGTCATTTCCTTCCACTCCCCACACCTTGCGGTTCCTGACCTTGCACCTGACCCAGGGCAGTGGGCTCAAACGATTTGTGGCCCCCAGTTTTCAGTCAGGACCCACAGCTTCAATTAGTGGAGAGGGAGAGGAGAGGGAGAGG